CCACTGGGCTGTAGTGGGACCGAAGAGCCACAGAGCTCGTGGCCCCCAAAGAGGAAAGATGGGCCAAGCCTAGCAGTTGGAAAGGCTTCAGTGCCCTTTGTCCCAAACCAGAGGCCAGGGACAATAGCAGGGCGGGCTGTGGTGCCGGCTGCCGCCAGCAGCCCCTGCTCAGGGCCCAGCAGCCACTGAAGTGGAAAGCTGAAACAATTCCCTGCCTGTGCCCTGCGAGTGGCACAGTCCCGCCCCTCCTCGACTGAAGTGGAAAGCTGAAACAATTCCCTGCCTGTGCCCGGCGGCAGGTGACCGAGTGGCACACTCTTGCCCCTCCTCGGGGGCAGGGAACCCTGGCTGAAGCTGGGCCTTGGGTTGAGGATGGGAGCCTCCAACTGGGAAGCCAGCCCAGAGGCCTCCATGCCCTGGGGCTGGGGGAGGGGAGCAGACAGGGACAAAGAAGGCTGGGCTCCCAGAGCTGGGGGTTGGCCTTCCCAGCTGCATCTGTCACTCTGCAGTTTCCAGGCTGTGCCCGAGAGGCAGGCCAGCCCAGCGCATCGCCCCAGTCCTGCTTCAACCAAGGCACTTTCATCCATTCAAGCATGTCAAACTGGTGGCCGGTGGACGAAGCATTCGGCCCGCCATCTGCGAGTTTGACATGCTTGATCCATTTGTATACTGGGCTTCTGCCTTGGTTTTATTTAAAGATACAATTGTGCTTTTTTATATATAAAATATTGAACAACACTCCGTAGAGATTCTCTAGGGCCGGCCAAATGCGCCAGGAGAGGGAGAGTTCAAGGGGCAGTTTCCAGAATATGTCCAGAGGGAGGAAAATCCCATTCGCTTTCTTGCCGGGGTGCGTGTTCGCTCTCTCTCCCTGAAGCTCTCATTCAGGGATCTCTGGGACACCACTGAGGTATACGTACCACTGAGCACACTGGGATCATTACAGTGAATGAAAAGCTCCCACCCTTCAGTCTGGTGAGCGACACAAACGCACAGTGCCCGGATTCGAAGTGGAACTTGGGAGTGACCCCAGAGCTCTGGGCTGGAACTCAGGAGCAGGGATGTGGCCTGCTGGGGGTGGAGGGTTGGGACAGGTGGAACCAGAGAGACCATGTGATTTGCTTGGGGCCGCACAGCGGGTGAGCGCCAGGGGACACGGAAATGGGTGCTCTCTCAGAGGAGAGGCCGCTTCTCCCTGGGGCCACGGTGCCGGCCCCGAGGGCTGGAGGCCCAGCTGGGCACGTTGGAAGAGCCCCCTTTGCTGGCGTTGGCCCTTCATTGCCTCCCCAGCCGCGCTCACCTCCCGCCCTCACCTGAGATGGCACCTCATCCTGTCCCGCCAAGCTCAGCGGTGTCCCTTTGTCCCTTTTTCTCTTCACTTCACCACTGCAATCCAGGGCCCTCCTTCTCCCTCCCTCTGACTCCCTCCCCTCGCAGCTCCCCCGCTGATGCTCCCGCCTCCACCTGAGACCCTCAGCACCTTAGCCACATCCTTTGAATTAGGCTCTCGGGGGCGAAACACCCCTGAAGGCCAGTGTGGGAAGACCTGACAGAGAAGACTAGACTCCCAGAGCTGGGGGTGGCCTTCCCAGCTGCATCTGTCACTCTGTGGTTTCTGGGCTGTGCCTGAGTGACAGGCCAGCCGCAGTCCTACACAGGGCATGGCCCTGGACGGGGCTCCCCGCCACCCACCTTGCTGTCAATAACAGCAGCCCCTTCACCCGATTTGGTCTACAGGTTCCCTCAATTGAAGAACTCTAAATCAGTGGTTCTCAACCTTGGCTGCACATTAGAATCACCTGGGAATCTTTTTAAAATCCTGATTTCCGGGCCTCATCCTCCGGAAATTCTTTGTTACTAATGTTGTGGCCTCACCCCATAACAAAGAAACAGAATTTCTGGAGGATGGGGCCCGGAAATCAGGATTTTAAAAAGATTCCCAGGTGATTCTAATGTGCAGCCAAGGTTGAGAACCACTGATTTAGAGTTCTTCAATTGAGATCATTTCTACCCATCAAAGGTCAGTGTTTCCATTGTACAGATGGGAAAATAAAGGCTCGGAGAAAAGGACATGCAACTGCAGGCACCTGGGTCTTTAGCAGCTCCCAGCCCGGCGCTCGGTAGAAAACACCTGCTAGTAGCTGGTCGCTGCTTGCCTTACAGAGAAACCCACTTGTAAGTGTTTCTGCTGCATAGAGTATTCCCATAAAATGGGCGTATTCCCCACATGCTGTGGGAAAAGGAAAGTGTTGTACCCTGAATCAGAAGTCACAGACTGGGGCCCCACCAAGGGCCTGTCTGGCAGCGTGTTTTGTTGGCTGTTTTATTGTTGCCTTGGTGTGCACTCGCCCGTGGGAATAGGTACTGCACAGGCTGGTACAGTCAGGCTGGTCTGCGTCACACGGCACCCACAGATCCTTGGCATTCCAGGGCTCTCACAGCAGAGGTGGGTTCTCTTTGCCAGCCCGTGTCCACTGTGGGCTGCAGAGGACTCTGGTCCACAGAGGCACTCACGGACCCAGGCTGCCCTTCAGGGAGATGCACCAGTTGGGACAGGAGAGCTGCAAGGCTGCAGTGGTCACATGAGCTGGCCTGGGAGTGACACACACACTTCTGTCTGCAGAGTTAGTCACCTGGGCCCACAGCTGAGAATAGGAGCCGTCACATGGCCGCAGGGCAGGCACTGTCTTCCCAGGCGCCGTGTTTAAACAGGGAGATGCAGCCAATAAAAGTCCGGATCTCTGCCCTGGCTGGTGGCTCAGTTGGCTGGAGCGCCGTCCCGTACACCAAAAGGTTGCCATTAAATCCCAGTCAGGGCACATACCTAGGTTGTGGGTTCCATCCCTGGTCAGGGCATGTACAGGAGGCAAGCGATTGATGTTTCTCTCATATCAGTCTCTCTCCCCCTCCCTCCCTCCTTCTCTCCCTCCTCCCTCCTTCCCTCCCTTTCTCTCTCTCCAAAATCAATAAATATATACCCGGGTGAGGATTTTTTAAAAATCCAGCTTTCTGGCGTCCCATGAAACACCAGAAGAGCTGCCCCTCTAGAGGAGGAAAGCGTCCCAGCTCCCTGTGGGCCCAGGGACCAGTGTCTGCTGCGTCCCCTCCCTGACTCGGACTTCCATGGGTTTCATTCCAGCTGCATGTGCACGGCTCTGGGGCAGTTGGCTTTGGGTCCCCATGTGGCTTCTTGTCATTTACCATCTCTGGAACCTCCTGCAACGCACCAGGCTTGTGTTCCCTGCGGGGAAACGGGTGGTGAGGCAGCACCACAGAGTCCCTGAGGCAGTGCTCCTCCTCTCTGGCTTTGGGTCCCCATGTGGCTTCTTGTCATTTACCAGCCCTGGAACCTCCTGCAACGCGCCAGGCTGGTGTTCCCTGCGGGGAAACGGGTGGTGAGGCAGTGCTCCTCCTCTTGGGAGGGGGGTGCAGGGGGGCTCCTGCAGGGTAGCAGAGCGGGAGCCTGGAGCAGGAGCAGGCCCAGGCCCAGGGGAGCTAACATCGGGGTACAGAGCGGGGAGGAGACCGCGTTCTGAGTAGAGGACAGCACCGTAAAGCCCAAATGGAGGAGAGGGCACCGAGCCCTTCAGGGGGCTGTGGCAGCTCAGGAGGCTGGAGCTCAGCAGGGCACGGGAGAGTGGGAGAGGGGGGGGGGTTGAGGAAGGCGGGAGAAGAGCCGCCCTGTTAGCTCTGGGTAAACGCCGCCCTTCCGGTAATGTGGCTGCAAGGCATCCCTGTGCCGTGAGCCACAGGACAGTGTGAGTGAGAGCCAGCCACCAGCCTGACCCGGCTCAGCTGCGCCAGCTTCTGTGTGGGCAGGATTTGAGGAAGGACCCTGAGGCGGAGCCTGGCGGTCACTTTTTCCGGGGGAGAGCTAAGGGGCTGAGGAACTGAAACCCTCTTTGGAAATGGGCCTAGAGTGCAGTAGGAGGTCCCCCACCCTGTGCCCACGGGGTAGGGCCTGTGCTGGTTACAGCGGGGGCCTGCCCTCCGGGAGCCGGACCTCTCCCAGCTGAGACTTGCCTCCCTGCACAGGCAAAGGAGGTATTTATAGGACGATTCTGGGGTCGCTGGGAGGCCCACCTCCTTCAAATAATTCCCTTTCTCCATACCTACCATGTGTCCCTGCCCCCCAGATCAAGCGCTCCTGCCAGCACAGAGGCCCCGCCACCTGTGAGTGGTGTCCAGCGAGCAGGGAGGGCGTGCACGAAAAGTCAGTCGTGCCCAAGGGACAGAGCACTCCACTCCCAGGATTAACTGAACAGCAGGGGCCCCATCTGCACACACACACACACACCCTCAAATGTGCGGTACACACAGGTGCACACACATGCACACACGCACACACGGGGCATGAGGTGGAGTGAGCAAGGTTTGTGTGAACAGACTTTGGGTTTGGGAAGGAGCCAGCCTCGCTGGTGTGGAGGACAGACCGTGCACCCTGTCTGTGCCACCTCCCAGGATAACTTAACCCCTTGGACTCCCGGCTGCAACGTGAGAAAAGGGAGGAGGAGGCAGGGTCAAGGGTGGGAGTGTATTTTGAGGTGTGGCTCACTGCTTAACACACAGAGGCCCTTGATAGGAGAGTCCTCCCCAGGGTGGCGTGGAGAGAGTTGAAGTAGGAACCTTGTGGGAGATGCCAGTTCAACAGAGAACGCCCCAGTGGAGTGACCCTCCCACAGAGGTGGGGACTGCGAGAAGCTCCCAGACCTCCCCAGGATGAGTGGGGAGAGAGATAGGTAGTTTCCTGTGTGAACCCACTATCCCCTGGAGGGCGGGTTACCCCACTGTATAGACGAGAAAGGATGGTCCAGAGGTGCCAAACACACTCCCGGAGTCTGGAGGCTGTGCTAGACAAAAGGATAGATTCATTCCAGGGTCTTGGAGTTTGCAAACTGGAAAAACAGCGAGGCAAAACCCAGGAGTGTTTCAAAGAAGGAAGAAAAGTTAAAAGTGCATTCTTGGCCATTATCAGCCCTGCATTCTTGCCCCGGGAATCGCTCCAAGAGGGTCACCGGTCGGAGGTATGTCAGGTGATCGGGAACAGGGGTGCAAGGAGGCCTGGTCACTCCAGGGGTCTGGATAACAGCTCTCAGGTGGGTGGATCCGAGTCCTCAGGGGGTAATTAGAGGCTCACCCGGAGGCCCAGATGTGCATCCAGGCACTGACACAAGACTGGAAAGTTCAAGAAGTTTCAGTTCCCAGGCGAGGTAGAAAGGGGATGGAGTCTTTCCTGTGCCTCAGCTGCACAATGTGAACAGTTTTAGCAGCTTATATCAGGGGTCCTCAAACTTTTTAAACAGAGGGCCAATTCACTGTCCCTCAGACCATTGGAGGGCCGGACTATAGTTTTAAAAAAAACTATGAACAAATCCCTATGCACACTGCACATATCTTATTTTGAAGTAAAAAAACAAAACGGGAACAAATACAATATTTGTATTTGTAGTTTGAGGACCTCTGGCTTATATAGTCCCTTCTTCACTCTTTCCTCTGGGGTGTGAGTCACTGTTCAAGATCAACGCAGAAAGGGCTAAAGGACAGAATCTGGGCGCTAAGTGCTGTGTTCACAGTGGCCTTGCTGCTTCTTCACTGGGAATCTTGGGCAAAGTGCTTGCCTTCTGACCCCGTTTTCTCACCCACAAAATGGGAACATTTACCTCATAATGTTGTGAGGAGTAAATGAATTACAGTAAGCCCTCACAATGCTGGCAATAGCTTCTGTGACTTTAAGTGCAATGACATCTAAAGAAACCGGTTTTACAATAGGCTGAATGATATGCGGGAGTTAAGTTTCCGCAGCATCTCAGCAATGTGGTGACAAAACAGCTGCAGTTCATAGAAAATGCTCACCGCAGTCTGTGGCAAGTAGTGAGCATGGTACCTGTCAGCCCGTCCCTCGGCAGCTGGCCGGGGCGAGGACTCCAGGGGCAGCCCAGTCCCGCCCTGGGCTCAGCGGGAATGGAGGAGACAGGCCCAGGCTACTTTGGAAGTTTGGAGGAGTAATCGGGACAGAAACATTATTCAGGGTGTCCCAGGGAGGGAAGGAAGCACCTGTCCTGAAACATTTAGGAGATTGATCCTGACTCCTAGGGATTGTGGAGAGGTTCCGGGAGGGGGGCTGATAGAGCTGGCAACTGCTGACTCGGCAGTTCTGAGCTTGGCCCACCAGGGGGCGCTTGGCTGACACATGTAGGTGTGGAACCCCCTTAAGTCCACTGGGCCTGACCTTCCTCTGGCTGTCCTGTGCCAGGGAGTAGGAGGGATGAGGGGACTGTGGATGCAGGATTGGGAGGATGGAGGTGGGAGGTGAGGCCAGGCAGCCGGCTCTGGGTGCCGCGCTGGCCAGCTCTTCCCGTTCACCTGTGTGTGTGCCCTTCCTGGTCTTGCTGGCAGGTAGCTTCCGGGTCTGCAGACAGGAGGAGAAGATGAAGGAAGATTGCGCACCCAGTTCTCACGTGCCCATCAGCGACAGCAAATCCATTCTGAAGTAAGCCTGTGTGTGCAGGGAGGGGTGCATGCCTGAGGTCTCCATGGACAGCCTTTGGGTGGAAGGGTTCCTAGATGGGAGGTGTGCCTGCCCCAGGGACAGTGATGGGGGCCTGTCATGGTCTTGGTTGTCTTTGGAGATGGAGGATCTCTTCAGGGTGTGTGTTTGACGTCTGCCCCCTCTGGCCCACAAAAGCAGGAAAGCCCCAGAGTGCCCACTGTGACTCTGCAGAAATGGTATTTATTTAAAAGCTAGAGCAATGCTGAAAAACAAATAAACGAACAAAAATAACTAGAGCAATACTAACATTCTTATTGTTGTGTTAAACAGTTAAGGAAAAAACCCTCAAAATTGGTTTTGAGTTTTTACTGAAGAAAGTGCATTTTATTGACATAACTAGAGGCCTGGTGCACGAAATTTGTGCATAGGTAGGGTCCCTAGGCCTGGCTGGTGATCAGGACCAATCAGGGCCTTCCGGCTGCTGGCCAGGGCCTTCCTTCATTCCATGCTGCCTCCTGGTGGCCAGTGCACATCATAGCGAGTGATCGAACTCCCGGCCTCCTGGTTGAACTCCCAAGGGGTCACTTTTATATTAGCCTTTTATATATATACATCGTAGATGATTTTTAGCTTTGCTTATTTTTATTTTAGGATACTCTTTAAATGTTTATTTTAGGATACTTTTTAAATGTTTAGGATGCTTTTTAAAATTTATTTCTGAACTAAAGAAAAGTATAGTTGTGATTTTATCTTGCTCTTTGAGTTCTGAGTCTAAACATTGTCTACTTTGGGCAGCTCCTACCTGCCATCCCACGGGGTGGGCTAGCTTTTGTAGAGACGGCGCCCTGGGTCCTCCTGCTAGAGACCCTGAGAGCAGACGGCATTCCCTTGTATCACTCCCAGTGCTGCCCATACCATCATTTTCTTATTTACATTTTATAATAAGAACAATATTAGATATCATTTTGGGAAAAGTCATAATCGCCATAACATGATTAATTTCATATATGTGTGTGGGGGAGGTGCATCCTAATAATTTTGTGTTTAGCGTTTACACACTTATAAGCCCAGTGAACATGCAACATCGAATGCTGCTTCGTTGATGCCATGAAGTTGGTTACCGTCATCCCCACGTTGCAGAGTGGGTGCTGCTCACCCACAGCTCGGGGTTGTTGCAGTGCCACTGCTGCGCTGCCTGAAGAAGATATAGGGCAGCCTGTCCAGGAGGGAGCTGCCAGCAAGTGTGGCCGCCCAGCACAGCCCTGTGGCTGCCCAGCACTGCCCTGTGGCTGCCCAGCATGGCTCTGTGGCTGGAGGGGCGAAGTTAATGTAAAAGATGCTCCAGATGGCAAACACTTCTTACAAAATAAAATAATGAGCAAGGTCTCATTAATATTTTTATATAGGTGACATGCTGACATGATAATATTTTAGATATACTGGGTTCAATAAAGGGTGTTACTAACACATTGCGGACAGATCACGAGAATTATTGTGTTTCCTGTTATTACACAGTGTTTTGCAAAATATCACATTTTTAAAAAGATATTAGCTTGTAAGAACATGTAATAAATAACTTCAAAATGCAATGGGTATTTAATTTTAAAGTGTGCCTTTAACATTTATGTAAAATGTTTTTTGTACTCATTCAATAGAAACTTATCTGGCCACTGGCTAAAGTTAGCAATAAAACTACTGGTCCGCAGTGTGTTTACACCTAATCTCACCTGTTTCGTTTTTCTCTTGTATTGTGGCTACTACAGATGTGACTCGCCTAAATGTGACTCGCATGTTGTATCTGTTGGATGGTGCTGCCCTGCAGAGCCCAGCTCGGGCACAGGCAGCTGTCATTGTCTTCTCTCTGCCCCACCAGCCAAGCACAGTGTGGTTTCCCTTTTGTTCTGGGGAGAAAACATTTGGGCCCAGTGGCCTCCCTGGGCCTTCGGGGTCTTACTCACTGCTGTCACCTTCATCCCGTGGTCGTGCCTCCAGGAGGTCGGGATGGGAAAGAGGCCGGTAGCCCTCATGGCGCCCACACAGCAGCCATGCCGGGCCCTGGTAGGCAGTAATGTGCGGGAAAGCTGGAGCCTTCAAAATGTCAACAATCTGAGCCCCAGGGATTTACTTGAGGAAGTGACTCAGAAGTAAAGTACAGGGAGGCCATCAGGAACTTTTGTCCACGATAGTGAATGTGTGCAAACACCCTCGCTGTACAATGATGGGGTCCATCTGTGAGTTTTCACTTCCCTCTAAGTCCCACCCCTACGCCTTCCATGAGGGCTGGTATGTGCAACCCTCAAGGAGACTGAAGGGCGCGTGTCCAACAGCAGTCTGGTCTCTTAACCAATTATGCGTGGCCAGAAAGATGTGTGCTGTTATGCCCATTCTACAGATGAGGAAACTGAGGCCAAGGAGGACAAACACCTTGTCCGAGGTCTGCCCACTCAGGATGCACGTGTCCCTCCCTTCTCAGGTCGGAGCTCTTAAACCTGCTGAAAACCTACAACTGCTACCATGAGGGCAAGAGCTTTCAGCTGAGACACCGAGAGGTAAGGCCTGGTTCTCTTCTTTATTCGGAGTCACCATTTATCTGCCATTTGCAGAAGACAGCCCCAGTTTACACCTATTTTCCAGGGTAATTATTAAGCCCGTGTCCCTCACTCTCAGAAGTGTCCCCACTTGGATAAAGAATTATAACAGCAGTTCTCAACCTGTGGGTCACGACCCCCTTTGGCTGTCCAACGAGCCTTTCACAGGGGTTGCCTAAGACCATCCTGCATATCAGATATTTACATTACGATTCATAACAGTAGCAACATTACAGTTATGAAGTAGCAACGAAAATAATTTTATGGTTGGGTCACAACATTGAGGAACTGTATTTAAAGGGCCAGAAGGTTGAGAACCACTGAATTACAAGGTCATCCATCCTCTGAGTGGGGCACCAGGTGGCAGCAGCCAGGATCTCTCCTTGAGGCCCCTGTCAGGGGTGCAGAGGGTCAGACTATCCCTGTGAGAATTCAGAGCCGGCGGGAGTCCTCCTGTGGGCCTTCTCCTTCCAGCTGGGACTCTTGTCCCGGTGAATTGCCAGGACATTGGAGTTTGAAATCTTTCAGCCATCCCACAGCACAACTGGGCTCAGCACGGGGCTCTGGCACAGGGCAATCGAGGCGTGAAAGGAGATTACTCTGTCAATCAGAATCAGCAGAGGGAAGGGCTTAAAGGGAAAGGTGCTCCCAGGGCCAGGCAGGTCAGAAAGTGAAAGGCAGGGCTGGCGGAGGGCTTGGAGGGCAGAGAGCACCGGTCCCACCTGCAGCCGCTGCTGCCCACCCGTCAGGCCCATGGGCTGTGCAGGAGCGGGGACTGGCCCACTCAGACCCTTCCTGGTATTTCAACGGAAGCTAGACACCTGGGATTCCATGTGGAATTTCCCAAACCTCGAAACCCCATGTGAGCTCAACAGAGCGTGTCTGTAGGCCATACAGAGGCTGCGGCACCAGCGGACTCCGGGGAATGGCCAGCAGGGCCCAGGCTCGGGGGCCACTCACTGAGCAGATCAAGCAGAGGCCTGGCCCTCCCGCCCTCTGAACCCTCAGGCTGTTCACCTGGGACCCAGGCTGGGGCACTGGCCCCACCTCGGTCTCACTCAATTTCCTTGTAAAGCCCCCTGGGGAGACTTACTGTGTAAGGTTTTATTGGGGGTTTCCACGGTTGAGACCAGGTGACTCCTGGACCCTCCGGCCTGTCAGTGTCTGTAAGAGCCAGCAGCCTCCGAGTTCCCTTCTGTTGCTGAGCCCAAGGATGGGCAGTTCACACCCCATCCACCCACAGACCCCTTCTCCAGGGGGCGGCCACTGCTCGTCCATCTTCATTCCCTTTAGCTGTTCAAACAGCCACGCATCCTCCTGCAGGTCCCAGACCAGAGGGTGAGCCCAGTGTCCGGGCAGCTGTGGGCCGCTGGGGGTCCTCTGTCAGTGCCACGAAGGAGGGCCAACTAAAACCCACCTGCCAGACCGAATCGCTGGGCCACCTGGATACCGGTCAGGCAGTGCCGGGCTGCCTGTGATGGCCGGTGACGGCACACACTCTCGGGGCCTGGGCCACCCCTGACACCTTGTTCCCCACCCGGCTCTGCCGAGGGCTCCTTCCCTCACGCACTCCCTCTGTAGAGTGGCCTCTAGCACCTGTCCCACCAGCCACCTGCCCCAGCTGCTCACTGCGAGGGGCTCTGAACCCACTGCCCTGCGAAGTCTGGCCTCACTGTCTTGTCCTTACTCTAGTGCAGTGGTTCTCAACCTTCCTAATGCCACAACCCTTTAATACAGTTCCTCATGTTGTGGTGACCCCCAACCATAAGATTATTTCGTTGCTACTTCATAACTGTAATTTTGCTACTGTTATGAATCATAATGTAAATATCTGATATGCAGGATGTATTTTCATTGTTACAAATTGAACATAATTAAAGCATAGTGATTAATCACAAAAACAATATGTAATTATATATGTGTTTTCCGATGGTCTTAAGCTACCCCTGTGAAAGGGTTGTTTGACCCCC